TCCTAATGCAAAAGGATACTCTGCTGTTTGCACAAGGATCTGGCTCTTGTGTAAATTCCACAGGTTATGTTGCACTGGAAGCAACTTCTTCTCAGTATTGCCTCTGAACCCCCCTAATGCCTGATAACTCAGGTGACTGCTGTTGACAACAACCTTCAGCTGCAAATTCACCAAACTGTACAGAAGACTTATAAAATGGCAGATGTAAACACCCCCAGAAGTTTCACATACTCCTGTGTCTTTGAATCTAAAGTAGGCTTCCTGAAAATACACTGAAAATACAAAACATGCAAATTTGGAGGGATAAAAGTAATGCGCTAAAAACTCTCCAGTGCTAAAAACCAGCAATAGCCACAGTGATCTACCTCTCTTGCGAACTGTTTCTCAGCATCCCTTGTTTAAGCATGCTGGAGGAGGTGAAATACAAGTAATACCTCGCCTTTCTCTCATTCAAAAAAATATCTTAAACTTTTTTTTCCATGGACCATTATTCAGTCTTCCCTGGGACTTTTCTGATTGTTGTTAAGAGCCAGTAAGCTCCCTTAGTTTTTGTATTACTGTTTCCTTAGAGACATATCCTCTGTTACAGGTCAAAACCAAGAAACAGACTTTCTGCATCAAGCAGCACCATTTTTTAGTCCTGATCCATTCTGTCCTCTGAAGACTTACAAACTCACTTTGAAGATGACAAGAAGTATAAAAAATTAAAAAAATAGTTTTGAAACAATTTTTTTCCAGATGAAGTACAGAACAGTACAAAATCAGTATCTTAAATGCTATAGTTACCTTTTGGCAGGTTCATTTTGGCTTGAGACAGTAAGTTGCTCTGGATCCATAATCACCAAACGAGTTGGAAAATTACACCCGTCGCCCAAACTAAGCCAGAAACAAAGATTCAAATCACTGTTTGTAGTTGACTTAAATGAACTGAAAAAGTACCCATGCAAAAAACAAACACTACAGGCTCAAATCAATTACTTGAGTGCAGCGTTGAACTCCAGACTTGGGCAAGGCAGTTCTACCACTAAACTAGATGATCAGTTAATGAAATCTTGGAGCTCAAATGATTCCCACCCTATCACTCAGTATGGATTGCTGAGCACAGCACTAGTCTATGTATTTCAGAAACATCACTGTGTTTCCGTAGACTGTAGCCCTCGTCTTCCCGCAAACCACCGTGCACACGTAGTCAGACTATCTGGTATTTACAACCCCAGAAGCTGTAGCATAAATAACATTCTGGTGGCCATGCTTTCCCCTCCGCCCATCATTTTGAGGTTAGCTAAGCCTTCTTTTAAAGCAAGTTTAATCAGGATAAAATGTGGTGGCAAACCAGACTGATCCATCTACAATATAGCTTCTGTCTTTAATCACATGAAAAGTCATTGTTATTACCTCTGCTGTTTGCTACCAGACCTCAGCTTCACAAATGGGTTCACCAGCATTTTAAACTGATACACAACCCCCCAAAAGCAGTTTTGAAACACAGCTCCTGCTTTGGTCTGCTGACTTTTGGGAGTAGTGGGAGTGGGCAGCAGGTCAGTCTTGCTTCATCAAGCTTCTCTGACGCTTGTCTGCAACTCCCTAACACTGGCTCAGCTGATGTTTTAAAACCAGTATTTTGCATTGTATCAGAATTTTTTTTTTTTGCACTGCTGCTTATTTACATGCACTTTCTCAGGCAGCTTCCAATACCAAAATCTACAGCAAAAGGAAAGCTGTCAAGCGTTTTCAGGGTAAGAGGGGGTGTTTTTAAACTGATGTTGTTTCAATGCAGCTGAAGTTCAAGCATTTGGATCTTTGAGTTGCTGATTTCTGCTCCACAGAAATCACACTACACAAAAGGTGTACAATTTTTCAAATACACTTCTCAAAGCTTTCCAAACTTCGGTATTTAGAAGGCCCTCATCTTTGAATGAAAACCCTGTGCAGAGTTTGCTCAGTTTTCTCCTGCACATTTTCTCTACACCAATATTCATCGAGCAGGATTTAAGTTGTCTTTTCAGTTGTGCTTTATTTTTTAGGAAAAGGGGAGCAAGGTGAAAGTCATGACATCAATTTATTCCCCAATTCATTCCCATTCAGACTGAATACCTGGTAAAGATAGGGAGTAGCCAATACTTCTTTTCATCTCCGAAAACCTCCCTCAGATTTTTGCTGCATCCAAGAGAAAAGCCATTTTTATCAGGGCCATTTCGAAATGTGGGTGCACGGAATGTTTCTGTAAAAGAAAAACATTCAGTATCTCTAAAGCAATAAGGAGTCAGGGAAGACGAATAAACAGACTCAAACTTCTCTATTGTGAAAACAGTGTCAGGCAAGCTGAGATGATCTTGATGTGTATTACGGGGAAAAAAAAAAGAGTCATCTCAAGTAATCACAGCGCATAAAAAATAATCACAGCGTTAATGACAAAAATAGAAATGAAAGGTAAGAAAGTCACATAAGGAGAACAGTCATCTTTCTCCTTTCGCATTTAACATAAGGTCTGAGGCAGAGCTAAGTACCATCAGCATGCCAAAAATACCACATCCCTTAGTCATTGATGGCTAGCTTGCTCTTTGGCCTGCGAAGCCTTTTTTGAGCAGAAGACTTCCTCTTCTAGAAGCAATTACCATAAGCACTACTGGACCTAAACACATACAGGATAGTTTTTTCCACTTCTGCCAAGGTCTGAAGTTGAATTAAGAGCATCCCATGGTATCAGAGAAAGATGAGCTCTATTACATTAGATACACAGACACACCACGAACTGTAGCAAACCACCACCATTTTTCTAGTCATTCTGGTTACGCCCTTGGCCAAGAACCAAGAGGACTCATTGCTCTCCCCATATCAACAGCTTGTCTTTTTACAATCATGATACAGAAAGTAAATAAGTACTGACTGTGTTGCCAATTATGACCACTGACTTTTGGGCAAGGAACATGCTAAAATTTTCTTCAAAGCTAAAAAAGAGACTGTGAATATTCCTTAGCTGTAGATACATCAAAAAAAAAAAGGACTCAAACAACCCTCCTGTCAAGCAATCAAAAAAATTCCTTTTCCTCCGTCAAAAAATTCTAGCAAGCTGAAAATTAGTTCACTTTTAATCAACCCACTTATTTTTGAGGATAGAAATTTAACTTCTGTTGAAAGGTATAAGATTTTGACTTGTTCAGTTGTGGAAATACCCAATGGTCCCCGTACCCCCGACGCCGCAAAAAGACTTTCAAAAATGCTTTAGCAAGAACTTCAGATATTTTAACTACTGCACGTAACTTGCTTATGCTGGTCAATGCCATTTATAACATTTAGGCATAGAAATTACAGGAATCTCTTTTATTATTTAGGATATGTGCATCAGTGTTTCCATTTTTACTGCACTGCTTTTACAAGCCACTTCCTAATAGCGAGGTGCATTTTATTTCACAGGGTTTAAGAATACTCTTTTGGATATAGTTCAAAATGTAGTATGTTCATATACAGTAGAGCATTCACCTTGGTTGTGGTCACCCAGCTACTCAAAGTATTAGAACAACAGGTTACTGGCAAGTAGCAATTGTGTTACATACTTAACACTATATAAAAACACAACAAGAATGCACAATGCCTCAGAGATCTCAAAAATACAAACAAAAGAAATTAACATTCATCATGAATCCGAATGCTTGGCTCCAGCAGAGGACCCCTACACATGCTTCATTTTCCCATATGTTTCACCTTTAATTACTTTCACCAAATACGCTTCTTATTGCACAATATTTAAAAATTTTGTTTATATGTGATGGCATATCCTGTAGGCCTCACATTCTCATCAACTTGTTGGTTTGCTGGACAAGGCATAGTTCCATATTCCAATTAACTGACCTATGGTTGATCTGTTTTTGCCAACTAGCCAGCAGTGGTAGCTGAAGAGGGACAGTATGCTGATGAAGAACATGGCTGCCACGAAGAAAAGGAATAGTACATGGAATTTTGCATGGGTATCTGGCAATTCATTCTGAGGAAAAAGAGAGAAAGAGATTAATACATTAACACTTTTTAGCAACTAATGCAGTATTGTCGCTAAACATTTTCTGCCACACCCATTCTGCTATAGGTCTTTCACCTCACTTTTCACTAAGAAAAAAAAGCACAAGCCCAGCTTTCCTTTCATGTCATGTTAAACTGGTACACAACAGCACTTAAAGCTGATGGGTACCCCTTCCACCTGAGTTTAGTAGCATGAGTGCATATGTTCATCTGTTAGTTTTTAAATGCACAGTAGGAGGCAAGGAAAAAAATTTCCTATACTAAAAAATGTTAACTGTGCAGCCACAGCCAAAGAGGCACAGGGAAAACATGTCCAAAATCACTTTCTTTGAAGGAAAGACAATACAGCAAAAACATCCAAACCCTTTCCTGGCAAGGTAATAATACTGAACCTACTTCTGAACTGGTGTAAGGAACGTAAAAGGGAAATGGCTGTCATACTGTGTTTCCAAGACTGAGCAACTCCTAAACAAGACCTGGAACAGATCTTCAGTTTTTGATGATCTCTTACAGTTTAGGCAACAACCAGCATGTACCTAGCAAAACAAATTTGCCATGTCTGACCAGGCAGAAATGATTCGCCAGAAGATCTACATGAAAAACAACGATTTCAGTACAACCACCGTATAAAAAAATAACCTCCCACCCACAGTCAGACAGTCAATTCCACCCCCAACCCCAACTATTTTTAGGCTTGCACTTTCAAGAGGCCAATGGGATTTGTAACAATACTATTCCAGTTCTATATCCTCAAAATCACAGTACTTTAAGTAGTTGACCTTTAACAGCACTATGAAAGCAGAGAGGCTATTTTTATTCAGCTGTTTAGTTAGCATTATTGCCATTACTGTTTCCGTTAGCTCATTCAGTGTACCCACTTATCTAAGGCTGATTTTTTTTTTTTAAGACTAAAGCACATTTCAATTAAGATCAAGTGCACATAGGTATATCTATATCCCAGTACACTGCTTATATTCATAACCAACAGATTACAAGTCTCCTTCCTTCTGTGATGGTGTAAATAGCTACCATGAATGACTGAAAAATTATAGTAGGAACAGTATTTAAATAATTACAGCAATATTGGATTTTACCTTTGGACAATTCTCTGCAGCTTTCCTGCGGCAAAGCTTTGCGCAAACAAAGACAATTTATTAAACACTAGTATTATGTTAAGACGAAGTGTTTGAAAACAGCACAGGCTTTGTTAAGAACGAAATGGTTGGTGTGCACACGTGCTCTCGGACATGCCGAGTTCCAACGCCCATCAGCAGCCTTAGCCCTCATTCTCCAAGAGAATGGAGGAGAGAGTACGTAAGAGCACACTACTAACTTCCAAGGCATGAAGTTTTCTACCGAAGCACAGAAGTATTGCTATTCAGATTGTGGCTGGATCGCTTTCCAACTGGTTCCCCAGCTTGAGCAGCATGACTACACCAGGTGCATTCTTTGCTAGTTGTTTCCATCACAAGTAAGGTTTATGTGAATATTCTGTATGATGAAACCATTCATAAAGGTCTGAAAAGCTCAGAATACTCCAGAGGTATAAAGCAATGGTTTATAAATTACAAAATCTTTCTGACTTCAGAACATATCTATCACCATTAGATGCAGTTTCAGTCAAAACCATAAAAAAATAAATTGCCATTCTTTGCACAATTTTCTTTGTTTAGAAAAAGAACCCATAACACATCAGTACAGTTTTTCTTCTTCCCAATATCCTTCAATACTGAGATATGTTTGCGGGGTGTATCTTTAGCGTAACATCTGAAATTGAACTAGTACTTAAGAAAATAAAGCAAGAAACAGGAAAACTTAGTTTAAATTAGATTTTAAATTCCGAACTTTATACCTGAAGAGCAGTATTAGCTGTCTTAGCTAAGATGCTAGCACTTAACGAATCTGTTGTAGGCAAGATGTATGGCTTTTCAGTTACATTAATCTGTGCAGAAAGCCTAGGGAGAACCCAAGTGTTTACCTTAGAGTTGGGCAGATATACACAGCATTTTCAAAAATGCGGGCTACCATCAGATGATGCTACAGTAAGCAAATGATAGCAGAGTCCAGCTCTCTGAACTGCCATCTAAGTTCAGTTTCCTTATTTACTGCCTTTTTATTTTTTGATGCAGTTTTGCTTAGACAATTTGTGCAACGGTCCCTCTTCCCCCTGCTGTAGGGATATGTTGTGTTTTGTGATCCCTTGAGATCCAGGCTAGCAAAATACATACTTCACTTGCTTCTTATTCCTAAGCTTCATATTAAAGCTATGATGACTTTTCCTGCCTCAGAGCACACTGCAGCATTCCCCAGTTTCCTAATTAATTTTTGTAACTTGTATTTCTATGACTCTTTTGGAATTGCATATTTAAACAAAATAGTTCTCTATAAAGAATTCTCATGCCAGTTGATTTTGAAGCTCAAAGAGCAGTAACACCTAGTCTTTGTGTTTTCTGTGGGCCAGAAAACGTAAGTTTGTTTCAATTGCATCTTCCTAAAACAGTAGCTCTATAACTTGGAGAAGGATTTTTTGAAGTCTGCATGATTAATCTGCATGATCCCCAGGGAGCATTTACGTCTTCTGACTACCCAGTTTCAGCCACTGGTTGTAAGTTCTTGAATTACAGCTGCAGAACTGAAGGATCTTTCCAAAAAAGGCCAGTTCCTTCTTGGAGAGAAGCATGCAGGCATTGAGTGCGTGTAACAGGCTTATTCACAGTTGTGTTCTAGCAGCAGTCCACATGCCACAGCACGTGAAAAAGAGAGTGAAACTTCAGACATTAGTTATTTAAAATCATTATGCTCAGCAGCAGCACCGAAGCACAGACTTGCAGGTGAGAGAGCTGCAGAGCTTACATAGGGAAGCAATTTGCACAATAAAATTAGGGCTACTTAGCACGTGTAATAGACTGAAGCCAGTCACTATTCTAAAAAGTCCCCTACGAACTCCTTCACAAGCACAGTCATTTGAGCATATATCAGGTCACAAAATACACCAAACAAAACCCACAACAAAAAAAAAAAGTGCTGTCAGAGCTTGACTCGTTACTCATCTTTAGTAGCTAGGTCTAGCTTAAATCTAGAAAAAACTCAGAAGATCTAGTATATGTCATTTGGACTCGATGATCTTAGAGGTCTCTTCCAACCTTAATGATTCTATGATTCTATGTCCTTATGTGTATATGCAAGAGGAATGAGTTCTAACTAAGGATCTGGAATCGCTCTCTTTTTTGTTGTTGTTGGTTTTTTTTGTTTTTTTTTTTTGTTTTGCTAATACAACCAAAGTTTTGCAGAAGCACGTGCCATCTACCTGGAACATGTATCACATCCTTGAATTGGCTATACTCAGGATTGCCAAAATAATTTAGAGGACAATGAAAGACACTGAAAACAGCTGGAAAATATACAGGTTTCAAGGGGGAACGAGTGCAGCAAGAATGAGGGTAGATACAAATACACACTGGGAAGTACCCCCATGCACTGTGTAAACAAGGCATCAAGGACTGGGCATTCAGCCAGTGCTGGTGTTTGTGTCAAACACATTTGGTTAAACTGAGGTTTTATCTGCTCATCTTTAACAACTTCCTAGGTAGAAATAAAAATTTCATGAGTACAGGAAAAGTAGTTAGGAGCATAAAAAAAGAAAGGAATCATTCACATTCCCTTGATCTACAAAACAGATTTTAACGTTCACATCAGTGTGTAAGCCTGTGGTTCCACCACTGTATAAACAGTATCAAGATTTCTTCAGCACTTCTGCATAGAGCATGAAAGATGCTATGTAAAAGACTTGCATGTGCAAGTGGGAAACACAAAGACTTTCTTCAACAGAAGAGTTAGGTAGGTGTGCATGTCTCACAATGTTGGCAAGTATCTGCATCTGTCATGTCTCTATGCAAGTATTAGCAACAGTGCAAAACAATGGATTGCTAAGATTTGTGTAGTTAGCACATACACCTTCACAACCTCATTACTACAAGTTCTGAAGTAACCAAGGTTACAGTCCCCAAGAAGCAGTTCATCTTCCACCCCAACACTGGATATATACAGCAGTTTGTTGCACGCTTTCCTGAAAAACATCTATGAAGAAGCAAAAAAGAAACACTACCTTCTGAAGGTATACTGTAACAGTTCTGATAGTCAAGCTTGGGGGGGGAAAAAACCAACATCTATAGAGCCTCAACAGAAAATGTCAAAACAGTCATCTGTCTGATGCTGTAGCAGACAAAGCTGAGCATTAGCAATATACTGAAGCAGTCTATAGCAATATACTGAAGCAGTCTATAGCAATATACTGAAGCAGTCTACAGACAGCACGTGTCAGCAGTATGCTCTGATCTGGATACAGATGTAGGGAGAAGCTTCCAGGACTCTATTCTGCAGTCAACAGCACTTGCCTAAAAGCTTACATACTTGAGACATACTAGATTTTGCAAGCCTACATGATTATGGTGCTGCCACCTCTTTCTGGAAGTCTACTTTAGTCAGGCTATTATAAGATCAGAGGAATATTAGCTTTGTAGAATGAGTGATTTAATATGAGTAAAGTGAGTCTGAGACCTACTCTAATGATAAGATCATGGCATCACCAGATTCTGTCTTGGAAGTAACCGGAAATGAAAGCAACAAGTGCAAGCACACAACTACATTGTCTATTGTCACATTTCAGAAACAGTCCAGTCTTGCAGGAAGCATTTTTAACAACTAAATCATTAAAAAAAAAAAATCCCTCTTAAGTTTACTTCCTCTGCTCAAGGGTCCACTTCAATATTGTGTCCGATGGGCTTTGGAAGAGCCTTGCTGCAAATGCTGGTATTAAATGTTCATTGTGGTCAGATGTCCTGCGGACTTTTGTTGCACTAACACTTATGAAGTGAGGTAACAAAGCAAACTCTTTTTTTTTTTGCTCAAGCACTGACTGGTAAATGTGTAAGAGTGCATCTACAGTTTCATTAGAAATTGCATACAAAGCACTGGAAAGCAGCCAGGCAGATTGTTTGGGAGTGCCACATGCACAAATTAAAAATTTAACTATTTACAGTCAAGCAACACTGAACAGCAGAATCAGACTATTTCATCTGAAATATCTGTCAAGCCACAGCTATGACTGATAAATACATTTATGGCTTTCATCTCACACAATACTGACAGCTCAATTCCCACATAGTTCGTTGATCTCCAGTGACAGGCCGCTATACAGAACTAGCAGACTAAGAGAAACATAGTACTTTGGCACATCAGACCCATAGGCTCAGATGAACACAAAACCCCACTTTTTGCACCATTTATCTTACCTGTCTAATGCCAACTGTCTCAAAGTACAGCTATTCTGAATACATGATCGAGCTTCTCTTACCCTGACATGGCAACATCTTTTTGCTCCAATAAAGATTATTTCTACAACTACAGATAATGACTGCTTTTCCCAGTTACTCTGACAGCAACTAGCACCTAAGAAATACGTATTGTTATTTACTTATAAAGATGTGATGGAGAGCCTTCCACTTACAGTGATTTTTCCCATGCTAGTTAATGGAAACTGATTAAGGGAATTCTGATGCTAGCTCTTCCGCCTAGAGACAGGAAGGCATAGTACAAGGTTTTGGAGATGAAAGGGAACAACACCAGAAGACACTCTGTTCAGCCTGGAATGCAACTGGAACAAAACTGGTAGGAGGAATATAACACTGACATACAAGGATGGTTGCCCTTCACATAAATATTATTAAATCTACTAAGATGCATGTATGCGTATTGATCATTTGAAAACTGATAATAGTTGCAAGGAAGATGTATATCATTAACACTGTACATTATCTTAGCATTCTACCTATATCAGATTGCTAAAAGCCACTACTATGAAGTTCAGACACGCCTATGTAGGGACTCCAAAACAGAGCTTGGTCAGTTCCCAGGAGATTAATCTGCCTTATCTGGTAGCAGATTACCCATAGACAAGTCTAGGAAGATACAAAATTGTTATTTATATTTCACATTTGTCAGTATTTTTATATATACATATCTGTGCATATATACACACACATATATATATGTAATTGCTTGATGTAGCCAGTTCTTTCTATATCTACATATCTATATTCAATAGTCTCAAAAAAACCTGAGCTGTGCCACTCGATTTTGATGGAGCAGAGAAATTGCACAGTGTCCTTATCGGAACTTCTTCCCCCAATTACTTATCTTGGGCAGTGTAATACATTAATTCATTAATATTCGGAAGGTTCTCCTGCTTCAGTCACTTCGATTGATGCTGTTAATGGTAATGAACTATGGAACAGAGTAAATGGTGAATGACAACATGCTGATGCAGCCTCCAATAACACATGCAGGATTAAACAAATGAACAACAGAAAAAAAGCCTTAGAACTTACTGTCCAAAACTTTATGAAGTACTGCAAGACTGTAGCAGCAACAAACAGACAGTACAGTAAGGAATACATTAAAAACAGGAGGAAGAATTTGTAGTTAGAAAATCCCACACAATTATTCACCCTAGAAGGAGGGGAAAGAGAAAGAGGTTACTATGATATACAAAAAATAAAATAAAATAAAAAACAATACATTTAGCTTTTGCAGAGCATAACGTGTATGATGTCAGTGGTATGTCCAAAACAGTTTGGCACTAGTGTTTCAGAAGCATTTTAAGCCACCATTTTGAATGAAGTCTCTTTCCTCAGGCCAAATGATCTGGGCCCCTCACATAAATTTCACCCCCCACGAAGTTCTACAGGACAGGACATGAGCTGGCAAAGCGTATGATACATACAGTCTGTATAGGAAGCATCTCACACACTATGAACTAACTGCAGTCATCGCAGAAGATAATACGAGCCTCTCCATCAATTTCAGTGGATGTTGCTTTGGTTACAAAACCACCTTCAAGTCAACTACTGATAGCAGTATTTTTATAGTGACAGCAGATAATATTGTTACTGACTACCAGTGAATACAAACTGCAGAAGAGTAACTGTCTGAGTGGGTCTTAAGTATCATCTAGAATCAAGAACTGATTTTCACAGCATAGTGTGTATCTCCTCTCCTGGTAACAATACCAAATGAAACAAAAGAAAGAAATGCCATTTCTCATAGATCTCATTAACACCAGGGTTTCTCTATATAAGGAGAAACTGCATGATTTGGGCTACTGGAGCTACAACTCTATGTTGCAACACACATTAGGAACAAGATTTATTTTCACATATTAAAGCCTCAAGAAACTCTGTGAAAATCAAGTTTTACTTCAAAGTTGCATTTTTGAAGCAGCATCTAATTTCATCATGTAGGATCTAATTCATCGTTATTATACTGATTTTTTTGTTTGTTTTTATAAACTTACCATGGACAGTGGTGGTCCATTTTTAATACACATCTGAAAGATATAATTTCCAGCATGTTAAAGCAAAAATACATTTTCTTTCTAAGACACATACTTTTAGCTTCTACAGGTTTGGGGGTTGTTTTTTATTTTTTTTATTTTTTAAAGTATTTTGCCCCACTGTATCTTTTTCAAGTCCTTCTCAATCATGCCGATTCTCCGTATTATAGCAGCCATCCTTTCACCCAAAAGGACCAAGTGACATTCAGAAGAGTTATGAAAAGAGTCTCTTAAATTAACATGGGGAGCATTACTGAGCAACACCATGTAATAGTTCATTAAGCCACACTAGTTTTATGTGCACATTGAGAGAAAACAAATCCGAAGGACCCTTCAGAGTTGTGTGGATAAGGTATGTTAGCCTGGCATTCACTTCAACGAAGTCTACCTCAGGGCTATTTTTGCTACCTTTTTTTGTTTACTGCTTGCTTGTTTGTTTTTTAAAGCTAAATGAGGAAAAGAGCAGCACAGTGGGTATTTGAATACTCCACATGCCATTTTCATCCAGTTTTAGTATAAGGACAGATACTAGACATTTCAGACACACAGACATTCACTGTATTTGCTAATAAATTTGATTTTAGCCAGAAGATGTGTATTAGGTTCTTCAGTTAACTAGATTTCCTCAAGCTCAGCCTACTGAAGCCTCACTCATAGCCTCAGTCTTTAGTGCCCTTACAGACTTCTCTGATGATTCAGAATGAGGCTAGGGAACAGCAGCGATGTCTTTGAAATGGTTAAGGCATGTAATTGCACTGTCAATCTTTGAGATAAAGATTTTTAGCATTATTAGTAGCACACATCTGTTTCAAGGCTGCAGAAGCAAGATACAATAAAAGAGTTCTATAATAAGCATTTGCTGTGCTGGTATCTCAGACCTGCCTTTCCTTACTTTCAATTGCTGATTTTATTTTATTATTTTTTTATTTAATATAAGCACTGTTTTACAAAGCTACAAGCAGGTTTTCTAAAGAGTTCTGCCACTTTGGACAACGGGATGCCAATAATAATATCGCACCAACAGGAGGAACTTTGCTTTTTCATGAAATCCAGGTACTAAGGGTCTGAGAGAGGGACAAATAGTAAAACCTGCTGTTATGCCAGGGCTGACACACTGAAGACATGCACACACTAAAGTGATGATCGCAGGAGAGAGAAAATCCATCATTTCAGATTCAGTAACTTACATGTCACATGCAGAACAGTGGTGGCAGCGGTCAGGTTTGATTAGCTGGCATCGATCACAGTATCTGATTGCTGCATTCAAGTGACAAGGATAAAGTCATTAGAACTCATTTAATGTTACGAAGGTTTTCCCCCTTAACATGAAGTGAATCTTAAAGAGCTTCCTGCCCTCCCCTGCCACACCTGTTCTCACAGACCTTCATGTGCCTACTCTCATATGATACGTACTTTGGATTTTTTTTAAGAAATGTAACATATGAAAGTACTTCAAACACTTTCATCTATTACTACTGTACTGCGTCCATTTCCATTTATTCTTTGGCTCCCCAGTCTTCCCATCCTTCATCCTCTGGCACTGATCCCCTGTCACTTGCTTTCTTTCGAATCTGGACAGGGTACTCAGGCATCCCATTGTGAAACTACATTCTTTCAGCAACCCAACTTTCTGCATTAGCTTTCTCTATCCTCTTCAGCAAATAGTGATCTAGCAGACTGTTCAGCTCTTCCTCATCTTTCCTGGATATTTTTAAACAAGCCTTCAGGCTCTTCTCAGTGGAAATAAGACAACAGCACAGGCAGTTTGAAAGAAGGAAAGCCAACACCTACAGCTAAGCAGAACTGCTAAGAGCTGGCAAGAGCTTCCCAGACCACTCCAGGAACTTAAGACTGGGATTCTCTGAAAGGGAGTCTTGTATTCAAAAAAAGCCAGGTGTCCTTAGACTTTGTTTCGAAAGTCACAGTACACATTGGTAACAGTTATTCTGAGTAGCTTATGTTTTTGGAAAACTCTACAGCATTGCTAGTTTCAAGAAAAAGAGAAAGAGAAATATATACACATACAAAAGCTAGATTTTTAAAGAATATACATATGTATAAGACAGCAGTTTCACAGATCATTCATATATAAGTTGGAATAAAAATGTCTATATGTATTAAAGGCAAATACAGAAATAGCCCATAACTAGCTTTGTACTGAATTACAGATAGGAATGAAACAACATTTATTCATTCTTAAATTCTAGCCTTA